TGGTTTTTTTTTTTTCCTTTTTCTTTTTTTTTTTTTTAAAGGACTGATTTTGTTTCCCTAGGGCAATGTTTAGAGTAGCGTTGTGGGGAAGGAGAGAGCATGGTTAACACGAGTACAGCTTTGATTTTCATGGGCAAAACAGGTTCAATGATTCCTCATGAACATAATCATTACAGTACATATGTTGCCCTCTATGTCTTTGAAAAGTTTTAGTGATACTTAAAAAAAAAAAAAAAAAAAAAAAAAAAAAAAAAAAAAACAAGTAGAAGTAAAGAAACAAATATACCTCTAATTGTAATCAATCTCTGACCGGGATTTCCCTCCCCCCATCTAATCCCAGGATCACACACAAAGAGAGAAAGAGAAACTACCAGGTCCTACAGTCCCTTGCTGCCAGTTGGATTTTTTCCCTACAGGTATGCATCCTGAAATCACTTTTTATCACTGGTAAAAGCAGCAATAAATACTCTTCCCTAACTGAGCAGCTTACAGCCGGTGAGCAATGTGGCAACGACTAGCAGCTAGGGCCGTCCCGGGGGGTGAGGGGTGCAGGGCTGCTCCCAACCCCCCCCGGCTGCAATGCCACTGGGGTCCCTACAACCGAGCGCCCGGGAAGGACAGGCCCTCGCCTCCCACTTCTCCAACCACCCTAAAAGCACAGCCCACCCACAGCCCTGGGGAGGGCCTTCCAGAACCCCGACCGCTGCTTTCCCCAGTTACTGCCTCCCAACACCATGCTCTTGCTAAGCCAAAAAATAGCCCCTGAGGTGTGCTGCTGGCAGGGCGAGGACGAGGAGAAGCAATGGGCTGCAGGGAATAACAACCTTGAGGCTTCAGTTTGCCTGCTGCACAGGCTGCTCCACAGAAGGAGGGACCCGTGTCTGCGTGTCATGCTCTGGGAACAACCCACTGCGGGAGCCACTGCCCACAGAACCCCCCGCTGCACCCCCTGCTCTGCTTCCCCCAAGCCCCACCGCTGTCCTCGGCTGTCCCCAGCACAAGCCATGTGTGGACCTGGGCACCTGAAGTCTTTGCTGTTTAATAAAATATGAAAGGGGGAAACTCAACAGGGCAGCCCCCAAGCACTGGGGAACGTGAGCTGCAAAAATAATTAGGCGTAGCTTATGGACCTCTTCAGCAAATCTCTTAACCAACCCATTGCTCTCCATAAACCAAAACAACTAAAAAAAACCTCCAGAAGACAGATAGCCTAGAAAATATCATGGTCAATCACGAGAAGGATTTCTGTATCAGGGCGGAAAAAACAGTCCATGCTAATTCCTGACTCTGGCAAACTTCTAACGAAGCCAACAGGACTGCTGCATCACCCCGTACTAGGGGGGTTAAACACTGTGCCCTCAGGATTATCTGATTGCTTTTATTTTTTAAGGACATTTTTAAGTTCTAGCACTATTTATTTTACACCCAACAGTATGTCAGGCGTTTCACACCAATTAGTGAAACCCCCTAGACTTCCAACTGAGACCAACAACCAACCGAGAAGAGCGAGACAGAGGACATCGGACTCTCTACAGTTCTTCTCTGTCCTAACGTGCTTTTGGCCAGCTCCAACTCTTACTTAATCTTTCCATTAGGAAAGGTAACAAATCTTACTGACATTCCTTTAACCCTCTGTGCCACGCGAGCATTTAGGACCAGCTCGGCCTGGCAAGCTGAGCCCACCGGCTTTTCCTGCGGAGAGGACTCCTGACCATCACTGCTGTATCGGCCGCGCTCCCTCCCTCACTCCACAGGACTGACAGACGCTCCGTCCTGCGTGACAGCCACCACGGCTTCCCACTCCCATTTTCTCTACAATCTATTCCATCTGCCTGCTCATCCTCCCCTCTTTTTGTGGTCCTCGTTCCCCTTCTCAGTAGATTTCAACACCGCATCCCCTGTCAAACAGGAGACCCTGGCCAGCAGCATCTCAAACCACATCACGTGTCTAGAGCACGGGGCACCCATGATACGAATTTAGAGGTGGTAAAATCAAGTCCGAGGGCATAGCGGTCACTAACGAAATGAAAACCTGCGTGAGAAGAATGGATGAGAAATGGAAAGAACAGCAAGTAAAATACTGAGGCAGAGGAGGTCACTAATCAAAACATACCAAAGAGTGTAAGGGACCTTCATAATTGGGAGATGATGACGCTTGACCTCCATTTCTAGACCAAACAGCTGTGCCTGCTAATAGTAAAATTGGAATTACCATTAGAACTATGCAAACAAAAATGTCTTTCAAACTTTTTGGACAGTTTTGTAGACATGTAAATGCCGTATTCCAGATAGACTATAGAGCAGACATATGGAGAACTTCCAAAATACACACGGATGAAAAAAAAAGGTATTTTGTAGCAAAGCACGTAGATGCAGGCCACAAAGTTCCCCCAGGCTGCTCCTCCGCATAGAGGGCTGCATTCATTCGGCAGCTGGAGCTGCGAGAGGCTCCGGGAGAAGGAAACGTCTCGGTGGTGGAAGGAGAAGCAGCGCTGCCTCTGGGTGCTGCGGGGCGGCTGGACCCCTACGCGAGCCCAGCACAGACTAGCCCATTCTCCTAGCCCTGCTTCCAGACACACTCAGTGCCACTGATTACGTCATCCCACCATCAAATTTACAAAATCTTAAAAAAAGAAGTCAGTAAAAGCACTGCACACAACATTCACGTATACGCTGATAAGGTTTGCGCTCTCTTTGGGCAGATTATTTGGTTTGGCCCAGTGAGACCGCCAAAGGTCTGACCGAAAACCTTCTGGTTTGTATCCGCTGCTCTAAATCTGTTCCTGCTGCTGCGGGAAGAAAAGGGTTCCTGGTCTCCAGCAGCATTTTCTAAGGAAAAATCTGCCCTTGTGAAAGAGGCAAACATGGGGAAAAGAAGTTTTTTTCAGCTATTTTTCCCAACAGCTTTTATATATATAGCACAACGCTTAGACAATTTATAATATTCTTTTGAACGAGTGATCTTCTGAATGATCTCATAAAACGGGGTTAAGAATTTGAGATGGAAATATTAGGATTTTAATCTTAATGTCTACGTTGAGTGGCATTTGCTTGGACTGAGACAGGCCAGGGTGGAACTCAGGCAATTTTTTTTAGGCTCTCACAGTTAAGATTCTGTTTCTCATAAAAGTCAAAATTATGTCAGTTCTAATTAAAACTTAAATCTTCCCTTTTCTGGTCCCCATGGAGCTTTTAGTTGAGGTTTTGCTACAGCACTGAATGAAGCAATGAGCAGCAATCTTTACTTTCGAAATAATTTTTAACTAGCCCTTGATATCCTTGAGGGAAAGCGTCTTGCATGCTAAACACTTTCAGCTCTTTTAAATGCACTTACACTCCTTATTTTTATTTATTTTGACACTCGGTTCTCCCTATTTACCCAGTAGAGCCTGCAGAAAGCAACGCAGCCCAAATTCACATGGGATTTTTCTCTTTGGCTCGGCCCCTTCCATCGGGAAGGAGGGCAGCGCCTCGCTAGGTGAAACGCAGCCCCAGTGCCGGGGGTGCTACACCTGGGGGGTGATTCCAGGCAAAACAAGGGCAGAAAGCCCTTTTCTGAGGTGTGGGAACCCCCCAGGCTATGACAGGCCAGGTGGTCCCTCTGTCCCCCATCCCCTGCTGGGGGTGGCTTTGCGGGGACATTTGTTGACTGGATGTCACCCCGATGTTACGTGCTCCTTCACAGCAGGTGAGCGTGATGGAGGTGGACGTGGCGCCCTCCTGGACCTCGTCCTGGAGGCTGCCATGGTCCCTCTGTCCCCCATCCCCTGCTGGGGGTGGTTTTGCGGGGACATTTGTTGACTGGATGTCACCCCGATGTTACGTGCTCCTTCACAGCAGGTGAGCGTGATGGAGGTGGACGTGGCGCCCTCCTGGCCCTCAACCTGCAGAGGCTGCCAGCTAGCACAAGCCTCTCCATCCCTCCTTCCAAAAGGGTCTCGTCACTGTAGAGCTGCTATTAGGTCTAGGTCTCTGAGGCTGGGACACCATTTTAAAGGATCAAGAGCCCAGGAGCTCCCTCCACCTCTGTCGTGCTACTCGTGCCCCATGGAGAATGCGGGATGGATCACACCTCTCGCCAGCGCTGCCCTACGGGAACATGGTGGCCTTTTAGGATTCCCAGTGAGGTTAACAGGATCCAGGGCTCATGCACAAAGAAGAGGAGACCGGGGTCTTTGGTTATGTGTGATACAGACCTCGTCTCAAAGGGGGGGATGGGACGCCAAGAGGCCTTCTCTAAGGCGTTAGCATGTGCTGCGTGGGAGGAGAAGCCTAATACTCTAGCTGAAAAGTCTCAAGGTTTAAGAAATCTGAATTACGTTCAGGTAAACATTTAAAACACCTGATGCTCATGGGAACTACCCTGGGCCTCCAGATCTTTTCAGTTTAGGCTTTTATTAGTAAAGTGGGTCTAGTTAAAGTATGCAATTATTATAAACAAAGTATAAAATTAATCAACTGGATTCACAGGGGCTCAAGTTTGTCCAGAGACACATTTTACGGATCAAACAGGCTTTTGCTGCAGCCCCAGGAGGGGATGGGGGAACATACAAGGAGATGTACCTGGCACGGCCACCCCGGAGCGAGGCTGCCATGAGGGCTTGGGTGTCCCTGCACAGGGGCACGGCCACGGCACGGGGACACGCTCTGCACAGGGCAGAACTCATCTGCCACGAGACCCCGAGGGCACTGCAGGAAGCCGCAATAAGGATGCACAAAACCACTGCTTTTCTGTAAATGCATCCGCCCGAGAGCTGCAACGACCTTCTCTCTGCATTGGAAATACAGCGTGTAGGACACCTCTCTGCTCATCTCTGTGGGACCACCAGCCACCTGCACGTGCTGCACAGCAATACGGGAACCGCCTGGTGCTGCCGGCTGGATGCACATCTCACACCCAGTACCGTAGGAGCTCATTTAGGCATCTCCTACCAAAAATATGTTGAAACGTTCAGTAAAATAGAATTGTAACAACAATACCTGAGAGAGAAGGGGGAGAACCAACAGGAGTTGAAGGATTTGATGAAAAGCTGTTGTTGGTGTGATCTGGAGAATAGATCTTTAAAAGATGATACAGAATTAATCTAAAGCCATCACAAACTGATGCAGAAAGAAATATGGAATTCTTATGCATTCAGTTCATTTAAATGAAAGCAGGACAGGTTAAAAAGCCTCTTATTCAAATATTAATATTTTTATAAAGACAAAACTGTATTAGATGCAGGAAGCTAGACAACAGACCCCTTTTGATGGGAACAGACACTAGCCAATTAAGCGATGGTTTCTGATTGTCACACGGATCTGCCACGGTAGATATACACATTTTCATTGCATAGACTACTTTACGAATGAGCGTCATTGAACGAAGCCTTAAAGCACGCCTGAAAATTGCTTTTTTGTTATGCTGAAATCCCTTAACGGCCAAAATAAAGCAAAGGGAGCAGAGCACGTTAAACCCTGGCACAGCGGGTAATCCGCAGCAGCAAACTCCAACTACTTGTCCGCTGCTCCGGTGAGAAAGCCCCCGCGTGCCCCGTGCCCGGGCGAGGGTGCTGCCGCCCCGCGGCGTCCCCGCTCACCACCCGTGCCATTTGTCAGGGCACCACTTCAAAGTGGATTCTGTACTGTATCAGTTATTTCAGGCAAACTAGAGTCTGACTTTTCGTCTTTTTCAATGAAGCATCGAAGAATATGCAAAAAAAATTAACTCTCATGAGAACTCAATGGAACCCACTCTGCCCAGAAAATAACTATAGTGGTCCTTATTAAAAGTCAGCCCATGCCAACTGGTACCGCAGCGATAGCTGGGGCACGGCAGGGTTTCCTCCCGCCTTGAGCTGGAAAACTGCCGTACCCCAACTACCCAGGTAAGAGGTGGTAACTGCTGACTTTAACAGCAACCACAGTAACTGAATAGGTGGAAACTGCCATGAAAAATAGAAAATCTAAAGGCAAATTCAAAAGGAACCCTGTTTGCGGATGGCTCGGTAGTGCAGAAGTCATCCTGCCGCTGGGTTCTGTTCAGACCTCCCTCGCCCTAGGAAATGCAGTGTGTGAAAGACTGACAGACACAGCTCCTTGGCACCCAGTCAATGTGACCAGGTCAAGGCTTCCCCTCTTTCCATTTCTATTCTACCATAAAATTAGGTCTAAAACTTTTTAAACGCCATTTTGCACTGATTGTTCAATATTTCAGTTGGCAGTAACTCCACGCGGGTGACCTCTGAGACCAGATCTCTCCCGTTTGCTGTTCATCTTCGTAAACTCCAGGCGTCCAATTCTGATTAAAGTTCACACTTTCAAAACGGTAAACGTGTATTCCAAAGTAAATATTTCCTTACAGAGGCAAGTGCTTTCCCCAGCGCATCACCAGTCTGCGAGCTGCCTGCTGCCCCACTTCCTCTGTTTGCTGAAAAACAAAAGACTCGATGTAAAAACAGACAGTAAGACATCATAGACTTCTATTCCTGGTCCACTTACTCATAATTTAATTGCATTTTAATGTTAATTACATAAAATTAATCTTTAATTACCATTAATTTGTTTGCTAAGGTAGATATCAAACGCATTCATGCTCCACTTTTGCAGATAAAATATAAACTTGACATGCTGGGTTTTTTTAAAATATATTGCGTATTTGATAGTACTTGGCCATATGGCTTTACTTTTTCTGAATGAAAGGCTTCTAATAGTAGAAGATGCGCAAAGATATGGAAAATATGCAAGCGCACAGCTAGGAAAGCCCGTGGCGAGACGAAGCCTGGGCTTGGGGAAGGGCTCCTGCCTCCCCTGCCCCGTGCACAGACCCAGTGCCCGTCCAAGGGTGCTGAGTTTGTGCTCTAGGATGTGCAAATCCGCTCTAACGAGGGTTTTCTTCTTCAAAAACTCTAAGGCACTTACATATAAGGGCAATATCTCACATATAAAATGTCAAAAACTACTGCAGAGGAACATTATAAAGGCGGCAAAGACAAACTCCCCGGAGCTGGGAACGCCAGAGCTCAGCCTGCCTGCACAGCCCAATTTCTCTCTCTGCGCCCGCACTGGGAGCAGTCATTAATTCCAGGCTCTTGCCACGCTCCCAGGCAGCCCTAACCTCCCTCGCTGCAAGGGAAGGACAAAGTGCCATTAATAAGCAGCTACCCGGTATTTTGTTTTCTCCTCGTTCGCTCTGTGACCCTGGTCCTTTGTATACTTTTCAATGCACGTTTTAAAGACGTTATTAAACTCATATGGACTTTTCCAAAGTGTTCCTTCTGACTTCACTCGAACATTTCATGAGCATTTAATGAAATGATTTTTCACCATCTCTCAGGTGATGGGATTGCATCTTTTATTTAAGAAATTTAGGGCAAGAAAAATCATGGTGTAGCAGGCCACCAGTTTCTCACGCTCAGGTGATAGGATTGAAACTTCTCCGTTACAGGAGAAAAAGAAGGAAAGAAAAATTAGGGTGAAACATCCCACCAGTTTCAGCATCTGTATGTCCATTTATAAACTAAAAGCGCAGCTTTGGCTGACTGCTGCCCGTGATCAATACTTCTGCTTTCATCTCCGAGGACCCTAAGTCAGGTGGCCAGAAAACAAGAAACAAGAAGTCGGTAACGACCCCGGAAAACCTGGATTAATGTCTGGAACATGAGGGCTGAGGCAGGAGAGGATCCTGTAACGCAGAGGGGCTTGAAGGGCTTCAGTCCCCCTGTCTCCCCCCAGCAAGCCCCTCGGCAGGCTCTGCACCACGAGGCCCTGGGATCCCGTGCCCAGAGGACTTCAGGAGCAAACCCACCCCCTGCTCTGAGCCAGGTGCATCCCACGGGAAAAGGAGTCAGGGACCAAATTGCCCACGTTTGTACCACAAAGTGCAAGCACAGGCACATTTTTGGTCATTAAAAAGTAATATTAAAAAGCCTCCTCCAAGTTTCACCCCAGCATTATGCAGTTAAATACTCAGGGCATGGGAAGGAGCAGGGTTGGATCCATTCTACAGCTCTTTGATTTTGTCATTGGTGTAACTACAGTCACTAATAACTGCATGTGTATGGACCAGCACTCAAAGCTGATGAGCTGATCTGCCTGTGGATGTTGCAGCTCCACAGCAGCAGCAGGGATATCTGGGCTTCGGGGACCTCCCTGGTCCGAGGGATGTCCTGCCATGCCCCTTCAGAGCAACCTTTCTGCTCCACCTCCTCCAGTCTTCCCACCCTGAAAGCATTTATCTCATCCACTGTCTCCATTAGCTTTTCCTAGTCTCCATCCCTTGCCCCTTTCATCCCAGCCTTCCTTGCTTAGCAGTTACCGTATCTCTGCTGTCAGAGGGATCAGTTATTGATCCTCCATCCTGCCTAAGCCCAAAATTTCTAGCAGCAGCTTCAGCAGGGTCTAGTTAGGAAAACTTAAGGAATGGCACAGAACGGTGTTTTCCTTCTATTTCTCACGTACAACGTGCATGTTATTAAATTTAAGAAATGCAGCCCTTTACATTTAACCTGACTGTGCAACTTGGACGTTTCAGCATTTCTCCTACAGCAGACTCCTCTGGAAAGGCCTCAAGGACTACGGGTGTCCCAGATGCCGCTAGACAAACTTGTACAGTGCAGTTTGCAAGTACGTCTTTGCTTACTCCTTTTTTTCCCCTTTTGTTAGTTAAACTTTTACTTTTATTATTGCTATTTGAAAATGTGCTCATCTGCCGATGACAGCTTATTTGCGATCTCAGCTCAGTTTGAAATTAGGCATCAAGATGTATAAAGAAAGATACACAAAGAAAAGTGAAGACAGATAGAACAGGCGGTGTCAGCTAGAGATACAACTTATCAGGGTAATATAATGTTGTAAATGACAACCTAAAGGTTTGCGACTTGAATAATACCAGGCAAATGTCCAGAAATTCAGTTACTTCACTCTAAAGTGAACTGTGAATCTAAATCTAGATCATGCATTGTTTTTTCCTTTTTCTAAGTGACTCTAACTACATTATTCTAAAATTAAGTCCTACATTTGTCTGTCTGAAGGCTGATTTCTCCTAATGAGACAAGTTATACCAGTCCTGCGGGAGAAGCAAACGCAGGGACCACAGTCTTGCTCCATGTACTCGTGGAAACCTGACAGTGCTGAGCTGGGCCACGTATTATATTAGTCACCGCTAAGAACAAAGGAATTCTTCAGATATACTGAATATTAAACTTTTCCTGAAAGACTTTGAAGAAAAATTAATGCAGTAGGCCTGGAAAACATACAGGGAGAGCCTCAAGGATGGGCAGCAGTGTGCAAAGTTCCCTTTTGCAGAGAAGAGGAAGCTTCACTGGGAAAGGGATGCTTGAAAAGCAATACAGCAGAGGTTTGTAACATGGGGAAGGCAAGCTCACATCACTATTCATTGCTCTCCCCGTATAAAAACTGAAAGCCACCCATTAAAACAAACAAAAAAGACTTTTTTTTTCACTAGCATCCAGTCAGATGGCGAAACTTGTTGCTTTAAGGTACGCAAAGACCAAACATATAAATAAATTTAAAAAGAACTGGATAAATTCATGGAGAAGAACATCCATCGGTGGCTACTGAACACCAGCCCCAGATGCAACCCCAACTCGGGACGGCTCCGAGATGCAGGCTGCAAAACCCCAAGGAAAAGCCAGAGGAGGGAGGAGCGCACACATGGATGCTTTGGCTGAGGCTCCCTCCCAGCTGCCGGCCGCCCCCAGCCTCCAGTGCTCTTGGGTTTGGGTTCTTGGGGACAGAGGAGAAAATGGGCAAATGAAACTAAGGCACCTTCTGCATGGAAGAGTAAGTTAACCATAAGCAGACAGAGATCTTCTAAAAGTGTTCATGTCCTGAAAATAACTGGGATTACTTAAATACAGCTAACTTTTTAATGTATGGTTTTTATTTCTTACATCACTAATGGTTTTAAATGTAAATTATTATTTGCTTTAGCTATCATTTTGGTAATGTAAGGGACATGACTGAAATCTGTAGGTGACTAAAGAAAACCCCATATTTGAAGGGAGAACAGAAAAACGAAGTCTTAAGAAGAAACACAGCAAGGAGTGTCTGCTCCAAGAGCCCAAAGATTTCGGGAGCAACGGGACAAAACTAACATCATCCCAGGACCGGGCACTACAGAAATAAGAACGAGACCTCAAACGTAGGAAAAGATAACCCAGGGTATCACTACAGAGAAAGGTAATGTACAGTGCTGCTTTACACAGGGAATGGCTATGGAATATAATCAACTGTTTCTATTAATATCACACAGTTGTTGGTCCATCACTTTACCACCAGCTTCAATGAAACACTCTTTAAATACAGCCACTGACGCCCCAACAGCTCAGCAGGGACAGGCTTAGCTGTCAGCTTCGGTGTGCACTACAACTGCCAGGTTTAAACCATCGGGGTATTTATCCGAGCTCTGAAAAGCACCGCTGGTGTCCAGAACAGCACCCAGAACGGAAGAAAATTTATATGAAAAGCAAAAACTATTTGGACTAGGCTGGGACATGCATCGTGAAGACAGATGCAGATACTCAGAGCACGTCCGTGCAGACACCGCTCCTCGTGTGCGAGCGGGCGGCGGAGAAGAAGGATTGCAGCCCAGCCCAGCTGGCATCAGATTTGTCATCCTGCACCAAAGAGCAATCTGATGAAATCCGCAGACGGTGCTTCCACAGCAGCCCTATAAATCTTCCCGGCAGGGGCATTTGCAAGGTAACCTGCAGAGAGTGTGCCAAACCCCGGCTGAACGAACTCTGAAATAACTTGAGGGTCATCACGGTAGGGTCTCAGACTGCCTAAAGCCTTGCTCTTCACCTCTGGGTAAAACTGATCCTCAGCCGGTTTTCCAAAAGAATGTAGAATGCAGAACAGATATCAATCCTACCTAAACAAAAGGCTTTCATCACATCCAACAAGGGCTCCTCCACTTCCCTTCAGCTCCCTTTGGAAGAAAACCATAAGATGTACGGGTTGAGCAAGATGGGAGGAATTAGGCAAATATTTAATGCAAGTTACATGTAGACAAAAAAAATTTTTAATGGCTTACGAGTTAATATTAGAAGCTTTTTCAAGCCCATCAGAAATAAGGACAACGATGGAGAGTTGGTAGGACCTGCAAACAACCAAGATGCAACAGGAGAATTCAAGGAAAAAAAGGGTAATAGAAGAAATGCTAAATAGATCATTTTCATCTGCGATCCTCAGCCGGTTTTCCAAAAGAATGTAGAATGCAGAACAGATATCAATCCTACCTAAACAAAAGGCTTTCATCACATCCAACAAGGGCTCCTCCACTTCCCTTCAGCTCCCTTTGGAAGAAAACCATAAGATGTACAGGTTGAGCAAGATGGGAGGAATTAGGCAAATATTTAATGCAAGTTACATGTAAGACCAAAAAATTTTTAATGGCTTAAGAGT